GCTGAACCCCGAGCGCTACACGGGCTACAAAGGGCCAGATGCCTGGAAGATCTGGAACAGTATTTATGAAGAAAACTGCTTCAAGTAGGTGCCTGGGGAGGCAGGTTGCACAAGCTTGTTGCAGGTGCTGAGTTTGGCAGAGGGGCTGCATGTGCTTTAACTCCTCCAGTAATCCCTGCTGGCGTGCTGGGGCAGTGGGGCTGTCAGGGGAGGGGACAAACCATGTGGCTGCCCCCTGAGCACACAGTCCTGTCCTCCCTGGCACTGCAGGGAGCTCCCCTCCCAGTCTGTGTGCTAGTCTGGATTCTGCTGTGGGTGCCCCTGTGGCTGAGGGACAGTCCTGGTGGGCACTGGACTGCAGTCCTGCCTGCTCTGCTCTCTCTAGGGATTTCCTCCCCATTGGTACTGATGTATCATGTTGCACCAGGGCTGTGGGATAATGCCCACTAGCACCTCTGTAGACACTTGAGTTTTCCTAGCTGCTATTTCTAAAGAAAGAAGAAAAAAAGAAAGAAAAAAGCTGCATTTTGCTCCATCCTTTTCCTGTCTGAGCAAAGGCAAAGCACAGAAGGTGTCCTGAAGATCTTAAGCTATTTGACTGCAGAGAAGTAACCACTTCTGCTGTGCTGTGTTTCTGCACAGCAAGGAGACAATCACTTATTTACATCTCTTATTTAAATGATTATTTTTTTTCCCTTCTTAGGCCTCAGAATGTAAAAAGACCTTTGGCATCTGCTGGAGGTGAGTCATTTATTTATCTCACTAAGTGGTTTAGGAGTGTGCTGATCCTAGCTCCAGGAACAGTAAATGCTCTCTGAGCTACTTCTCTCACTGAATAAGAAATACATTGTAGCTCTTGATTCAGGCTGGGAATTTTATGGCTAACACAAAGGTACCTGGAAGGGTGGCTTTCTAGTATGGAGAAAGGAAGTGTGATCCTCCACTCCTGGGAGAAGTGTGAGCTTTGGAGAGACTGGGAGCAGGACGGAGCCCTGAGCTCTTCCTGGGTCCCTGGTTTCTGTGCTCAGCAATGCCAAACCACCTGTGACAGACCGGAATGAGAACCTGCCTGGAAACCATCCAGTGAGAGAAACTGCCCCAGAGGCTAAGGCCAGGTAGTGTAAATGGAAGTAGGGAAGGGTTTTGGAAATGTAAGAGCTTATTTTCCAAGTCTGCTTAGAGATGCCTCCTGATGCCCCATCCTGCACAGGTATCTAGAACATCATCCATCTCACTCCCCCTTGTTTGACCTGAACGCAGCTCCAGCAGCACCCTCTGGGTCTCTTGATTTTCCCAAAACTGTGGAGGTGCTTTCCCTTCTCCTTTGACCCTTGTGCAAAGGCCTGGCACTTCAGGAGCAGCACTGAGGAAGAAAATGTCCTTTAAAATATTGTTTTTTCCCTTGACTACCTCTGTTTAGGGCAAGATCTGAAAGAACTAACACAGGTCTGTTGAGGGGAGGGAGAAGGACTGCTGTTTGGGACATGAGGAAACAGGAGGACATGAATATAGAGGAAATGATCTGAAAATAGAGGATCTGATCTGCCAGAGTTCCTGCAAGTGATTAATAATAAACTGCAGGAAATATGGATGAGATCCTTGAGTATCCTGTTGGAGGTAATACAGGAGATCTCTGCAGAGGTAGAAATGGAGACAGGCTGGGAAAGCTGGGGTTGTTCAGCCTGGAGAAGAGGAGGCACCAGGGAGACCTTAGAGCACCTTCCAGTGCCTGAAGAGGCTCCAGGAAAGCTGGGGAGGGACTTTTTTATGAGGTTGTGTCCCTTGTTTTCTAGTCTCTCCTTCAGCTGTCTAGTGGTTTTACTTCCTTTGCAAATACTGATCCCTCCTGCGTTGGTCAGGTTGCTGAGGAGCATTGCTCCTCTGCTGGGTGTCTTCTGTTGTTCACAACATTTCCAAACCTCCCTGGAGAGGCTCATTCTCTTGTCAGAGCAGATTAGCAGAGCAATCTTCATGCTTGTGTTTTGGAGTTTAATTTTGGTCACGTGTAATTTTTATCTCCTCTTTTCTCTCCTTTGACCCCTTGTGCTTTTTTTCTTCACCAGCAGATGATGGAGGTGAGTGGCACTCTGGTTTTGCTGATAAGAGAAACAAATGTGGTGTCTTCATGCTGTCACCAGCTGTACCATCAGATAATGCACCTGGTTAGCAATATCAGAAGTTGTCTTCAAATTCTGCTGTGTTCAGGACCCTGTGGAGAGATTCCTCTGAGCTCCCTGTCCCTCAGGCCAGCTCATCCTGTGTGGAGGCCTTAAATTTGCCTCCAAACTGTCTCCAAATCATGATTATGTTCCCCAGATCACTTCCCAGCATGTAGCAGGAGTAGCAGGGAACACTGACCTGTGTGATTGAACATACTTGGTTGCACCATGTGGGTTTTTTTTGTTTGTTTGTGTTGTTTATTTAGGTTTTTTAGTATAAAAATCCCACTCTCTCTGCCCTGGCCAGATGAGAAAAGCAATCTGGGATCCTTGTTCCTCTCTCCCCTGTGCTGCTGTGCAGCACTCCTGCCCCCCTGGTCTTTGCTGGGCTGGGTGGGAAGGCCCACAGGCTGTGTTGAGCTGCTGTCACACCATGTCACAGAGGCAGCAGGCAGATGGGTGGGAAGCAAAGCTATTTTCATCTTCTTGTAATGCTCCTTTCCCTGCTTCTGTCCAGCTGGGGTGGGCAGAGGTCCTCTGGGGACTGGCCTCAGAGGTTTTTTGAGGCATCAGGCTTGGGTAATGCCTTCCCCTCTGCACAGGCCCTCTCTCTTTCCTGTGTCAACCCCCTGTGCTCTGAAAGGTGTGGTCAGAGAAGCAGCCTGACACATGCCCCAGGTGTTCAAGCTCTCCTGCTGCTGTCAGGGACCTCAAACTGACCTGCTGGTTTTCCTTTCCTTTTCAGGGCACACATTTTACAAGTGGCTGAAAGGTAATCAATCCTGTTCCTAAGCTTGGGTGCTCCTCCTGGGATGAACACAAAAGGGCCAGGGAGTGGGGAGGAGTTACTGGTCATTCTCAGGTGGGACTAGATCTCTGTCTGACAGGCAAGAGAGGTAAATCCAACAAATGCTTTCAGTATCCTAAAAAAGCCCATTTCTTTCTAGGTGTCTGTGTAGAGAAACGAGCTTTCTACAAACTCATTTCTGGTCTCCATGCAAGCATCAACATCCACCTGAGTGCCAGGTACCTTTTACAAGGTAAATGCTGCTTTCTGCCTCAGCTCTGCTGCTCACTTCCAAACTGACACTCCTGTCAGCTGAATGCTGGTTGGAGTCTGTTCCAGCAGGTTCAGGCCTCCTTCTGGACTCTTCCCTCAGCACATGGGTTGTTACCAAAAGCAGGAGTGCAGTTACCGCTTGCCTGCAGGTCTGGAAATGGCTGCACTCTGCTCTGTAGTGAGACTTCCAGCACTTATTTCTTCTGTTCTTACTCCAAAGTTATTCTGGAGTGGGTTCAAACTGCCCACCAAGGCTGTTCCTTCCTAGCCTGTTGATATGATGGTCAGTTTAGCAAAAATCTCATCTAGCCCATGACATGCTTGGCTGGGCTTTCCCAAGAGCCTTGATCCATTTGCACATGCCATTTCCATTTCCTTTATCCATAAGTAGCTATCTGAAGGATCTACATTTCAACCCTGGGGTTGAAAATCTAGAGTGATGT